TGTCAGCTAGGACAAGTTAGGAAAGAACACACAGAATTAACAACTTAGAATGTATAAACTAATTGGAAAGATTTGGTGCTAAGAGAGGAGGACCAGCTTTGAAAAACGTTTTGAAGCTGTACCTCCTTAGTCAACTAAATTCTTTCCAGCAGTGGAATAGTTAACAACATAAAACACACCATAAATGCAGGTATTTCTTTTTTTATTTCCACTGTTGTGTTTTGTTTCCTACAGGTTGTTATGATGGCTTAGTGTATGTGCTTCAAAGCACTGATGGAGAAACATACTGGACTTTTGCCACAGAAGACACTGTGAAAAGCTCTGCAGTGGCAGATCCTTCCAGTGGATTAGTCTACGTAGGATCGCATGACCAGCATATGTATGCTTTGGATATTTATGTAAGAACACTGGATAACTTGTATGTCTGCAAGAACCAATATCCAAATTAGACACTATCTGTAGCACACCAGATGAAGCTGTGTTGGTTATTGTTGGTTAGTGGTGGTATTCTCAGAAGTCTGCCATAAAGCTTTTGAGATGGTTGTGCTTGCTTGAATGGGTTAGGATTATGTTTTAATAAATAGTTCTAGTGGTTTTCTCATGCTCCTAGTCCTGGCTGAAGCAAGATCTTAAGCTTCTCAGTTACTGAATACTCTGGGTATTTCAGAATAGGGTGCCCATCCAGAAGTGACACAGTGGCTTAGTGGTGGGAAGAGTCTTACATTTTGAAAGAATAGATGAGGGAAGATGGCAAACAAGAGGGCCAGATGCTGCTGGTCGTTCAGCAGAATTTTGTACATTTACTGGAAAATACCACTGACATGAGTTTCTATAACACCATGTGAATTATATCTTAATTTAACGTTTATTAATTAAATGCACTGTTTAATAAGCTTTGACATTGAAAGATCATTTTAAAATTCTGAGCTTGAACTGCAATTGTAAATTGTTGTTGTTCTTACAGGAAAAGATGTGTGTATGGAAATTGCATTGTGAAGGTGGAGCTGTGTTTTCATCTCCTTGTCTGAGCTCTTTTCCACATCATGTTTATGTTGCTACACTAGGAGGACTGTTACTGGCTGTCAACCCGGTATGTTCCACTGCCAACTTGTCTTTGATCTCAATATGAAATGTAGATTAAACCAAAATGCATTTCTGAAATTAAGAGCACTTTATCAATGGAAGAAATTATGCAATCGTGTGTTACTATGTAATCTTTTTCACTTGAGAGCCTCACTGTTATACACAAGGTCACTATAATAATTTCTGGTGATGAAGAGAATTTAAGTGACTTGCTTGAATTCACATGGTGTAACTGTGGGCCAAAGTTGGAATCAGCATCTTCCAATTCCCACATACTTATTTTATCAGTTAAATTGGTATGTGAGAGTATGCCTGTGCGTTTTGTTTTCTTTCCTCTGTCCTTTTGACAGTAAGATTTGAAAAAAATATATACACAGAATGTACTGAAATTAGAACGGAATAAGGAAAGAAGCTCCTTTATTCCTCTTAGTGTTCCCCTTCTCATAGTCATTTAAAGAGCTGCCCATCATCATCTTGGACTATTGCTGTTCTCTGCACCACGAGAGTGGCATTCTTGATAAATGTGGTGCAATTTTATAATTTTCTGAGGCAGTTTTGGCTTGCAGCTGGTGCTGCCTGATAGAAGAAACAGTCACTTGGAGCAGATACTCGTGTTGTACACCACTCACAACCCAACATTAGTCCTCACTTTCCTTATGTTCCACCCACTACAAATTTCTGCAGTAGCACCCAAATACTTCTACCTGCATCTAGTTTTATAAGTTTAAGTATATGGTTTTGCAGCTCTAGTGAACTGTGGATAAGAAAAAATATTTGGTGTGTGGGTTTTTTTGTTTGTTTGTTTTCATAATTCTGAGTAACAGGCAGTTGAAAACTCCAGCCATAGCTCCATGTGATTATTTATAACAAAGGAGCTTACTGTGTCAAGCATAGATTGTGGGTTGAAGCATTTAGTATGGTATTTATTATGAAGACATAATACTCATTTTCAAAATATGCTCTATTGCACTGACCCTGTTCACATTCTGAGGAGCTGAGAATGGAATTAAGAATTAATGTTCTTCTTGAAACTTCTACTACTGCTTATTATTAATTATTTTGCCTAGGGGAAGGAAGAGAAAAGTGGAATAGAGGCAATGAGTATGCCAGTGTATAACTGTTTTGTTGGAATAACATTTGAAGCTTAGGTTTGCATGGCTGGGTCAAGTTGTAAAGGAAGAACCTTTTTGTGCAACCTCCATTGACAGGTGACAGGGAATAAGATTTGGAAGAGTTTTCTGGGAAAACCACTTTTCTCTTCTCCTCACTGCAATGAGAAGTGTGTTTGTATTGGATGTGTGGATGGAAACTTATACTGTTACAGTCATTGTGGAGAAAAGGTAAAAACTGTTGGTGATGGTGGGGCTGGGTTTTTTTGTTTAATGCTCATTCCCAAACACTGCATAACATGCTTTGTTAATACTGTTTTTTTCTGAGGCTTAATGATTAACATACACCTTTTTGCGAACCAAATAGAAGTGTGTATTATACAGAGGCAAAAGAACTGTAGTACATTCAGTCCATGCCAAACCAGAAATAAGCCACTAAGTCCCAAATTGCTTGATGTAGTAACAGAAATTGTAGTAGAGCTTATACTCAGAGCAAATGGTGGTGCCAGAGTAGTGCCAACAAATAAATACTTTTGAGTTTCAGATTTTTTCAAGAATGTTTAAAGCCATTTCTTCATAAAGGGTGGCTGCTGAGAAGTAAAGGTTTCTTACAGTGCTTAGTGGTTTGTTAAATACTGGCATCGTGGCAAAGATGTTGCAGATGATAGTTCTGGCATAATATATGGAATTAAATATTGTTTTGTTCTGCCATAATGAATATGGTTTATTAAAATACATGATACTATTTCTGTTTGCTTCAGGTGCAACATACATGGCAATTCCAAAGCTTTTTCTGATTGTTCAGTGTCTTGGTCTGTGCCCTACCCTCTGTCTCCTTGCAGCAGTGGTTAGAGCTCATACTTGAAGAGGGTTCTTTCTATCCATCTCATCCATCCATTAGCTTGAGGAGAGGAAAACTATAGCACTAATGAGACTTCATCTTTGTGGAAAAGAATGGCATCAGAACAAAATCCTTAAAGCTCATTGCTAGTTGTGCTGTGATGACCCCAAAACATTCTTTTCCCAAGTTGGCTGTCTGCATGGGCCTCTCAGAAGACAGTAACTCTTCCAGCATATCTATTTTCTCACATACTGTGCTTTGTAAAACTTAACTTGTAATTTGGAAAGTATTTACCAGCCTAACACTGAAATCTTGTATGATTTTGAAATTATATGTGCTTCCATCAACGACTAAGTATTAAAAATTTATAGTTGCTATCATTCTGAAAATGCCATCAGCCTGTGATAATGGGTGGTTATGTTATTTCTCTAGGTTTGGCAGTTTTCCACTAATGGACCAGTGTTTTCATCTCCGTGCATCTCAAGCTTAACTAAGCAAGAAGTATTTTTTGGATCTCATGATCACTTTATTTACTGTTGTAATACAGAGGGTGATTTACTGTGGAAATTCAAAGCCACTTCAAGTGTATATGGAACGCCATTTGTTTTCCAAAGTAATGACTCAAAGAACGAAGTTCTGTTGGCAGCAGTATCTACAGATGGCAAAGTGTGGATCTTGAATGCTAGGAGTGGAACAGCAGAAGGAACAGATACACTTCCAGGAGAGGTTTTCTCATCACCTGTAGTATGGGGAACAAAGCTTGTTGTTGGCTGTAGAAATGATTATGTTTATTGCCTAGATTTGTACATAACAGGAAAAAAGGAACAAGGATGTTAGACTGCTGCTGCTTAATTGTTTACATTTGTAAATTAAGAACTTGAAGGCACTGTCTACCTCTCTGCCTATTTTGCTTTAGGCAAAAGCTGCTTTGTGCAGCTTTCTCAACATTTTGCACCACTGCAAATGCAGGTAAGTGATGTTTGTTGGCTTGCTGTACTGACTGAAGGATGACTGCTCAGCACTAGCCACAGGTTTCACTGTCCCTCCCTCATTTCCCTGCCCAGACTGAAGAAAGAAAGAGTGTTTCAAGTTGTTTGGATCTGAGTGTTGTGCTTTTACCTGTGTAGCAGGAAAATGAAAGTCAGTAGTTTGGCTTCAAGTACTTACATGGCTGGAAGAAACTCTGGTAAGGTGCCACACTGTGTGACTGGAATTAACATTCTTGTCTCCCTGAGGGAGGAATGTATTCCTTTCTGTGAATCCTAAGATGCTAAGGTAGCCAACATTCTTTGTTCAGTCTAACTTTTAATTGATTTCTGAGGAGGTAGCCTACATTCTATGTACATAATTAATATTAATAATCTACAGCAAGTTGGGGCCCTCCCTGGCTTCACTTCAGCTGAGTTTCTATTTTTCTCTATGGAAATCAGTACTAGTCACTTACTGTATTCTAAAGTGTCTATTAGGTGTCAGTGACAATTCCCATATGAGTTCCTAGATGAGGTATGCTGTGTTCAAATCAAAGCCTGCCAGGCTATTTTTGAAGAAATTTCAATTAATGCTAACTATAGTGTTTACAGAGTGCTATTCATAAGGGATTATATAGGTTTTTTTGTTATCATAAACATCTTAAAAAGAATTACTGTCAGTAATGCAAAGCAAGGATTTGCAGACAGAAGTACTCTTAACTCAAGAGTATCTTCCTGATTACAAGCCTTCTTAAAAAGCTATTGTAGAAGCTATCAGTCATCTCTCCCCTTCTTGAATCATCTACTTCAAATTCTAACATTCTGAGTTAGTTAAAAAGTAAGTAGAAGTTGCAGAGGCTACATTACATGTCTCATTCATCCATTTTACTGTTAGGAGACAGGCACAGGCAGGACACTTGTGGTAGCAGAAGTTCTGTTATAAAGCAAACCTGAAGTACACAGACAGCAAAAAGAGACACAGAATTGATACATCCCTGATAATTTTGACTGGGTTATAGTTTAATTAGAATTAAAATGACATTAGTATAATAAACAATTGCACTTTAAAACATTTGAAAAATTAAAAAAGTACACAACAAATACCCCACAATTATACATCTTATAGTTTTTTTATACATTACTATATGAACATAGAGGTTAATCATATATAACCTGGTCAGAAGAAATGCTATTAATGTGTATAAGTTACAAAAATTGAAACAATATACTACATAGTGGTTTGTTTGGTTTTTAAAACATTTTTGTGTTTTAAAGTCAGAAGTAATGGTTTGTGGTGGTTGGGTTTTATTTGTTGTTGCGTTGTTGTTGTTTTTAAACAGATTTCCAACACTTTATCAGAAACAGCTGCAACAAAGCTAAAGCAAAGTAACACTTCACTTCATTGGTATTTAGTGCAAATTTTGTTAGTTTATCATGAAATGTCACTGTTGAACATGTATGTTTTAGAAATGTTTCCATCAGGTTCTGTACGTAATACAGACTCCATTATTACACTAGATACCTTTATGGTTGAAAAAACAATCTGGTTTGAAGCTTTAGCTTAAGACTTTCCTTAACAAAAGCTCTGTTCTATGTGCTTTAAGTGTATTGTATTGGAAAATTGCATCGTTATGTCATGCACAATAGCACCTCATTATGCTATGCTGTCTGGAATACTTCAATCCTGATTTACTTCACCTTCTCTGTATTAAACCTGTATCCCTATCCCAAGGAATAGTCCTAAAGACAGATTTCAGGCAGTTTAGTTCTTGTAACTATAAATACATATTGCAGGCTTACAAAATTCACAAAAAGAATAGATTTAAGAAGTAGTAATTCATGCTGCTAGCAGAGCAGAAATAATTATGGGCCAGATTCTTTCCTCAGAAAATTCTTTGCAGAGATTTTACTATTTAGCAGTAAGTGGTTTTTTTTTTCTGAATGTTTGAGAACAGCATTGCCTCATCTCTGTATAAAACATTCTAAATACTTACATTAATGGAAAAAATATTACTTCACAGGTTTGGGTTTTAAATATGAAAATGAGCAAAAGTGATGGCTTAGGAGACTCAAAAAAACAGTCTTGCTGTGTTCTCATCATCTCCATCTACCATGTCCCAGGTGTTTGTGCTGTTGTAACCACAGTAGCAAACCTTTGCTACTTTCTGTTTGATGGGAAACAGGGTATTCAGTAACAATTTTACCATCGAGCCCTTTTTGATTCTTGGGATGGGAATTCATGGCAGATTTCATTCTGTTTTCTGCATAATTTAAAGTGCTGCTGCTCATGCTGCATACAGCAGTTTGGCTAAAGTATTTCCATGAAATGCACATGGTATCATTCTATAATGATACAACTTCTTTCCATCAAAATTATCACTCTTTATCATGCATTAGGCCTAAAGTGCCTCTGAGCCTTACCATTACTAAGAGATCAAATTTGTTGAATACGGCCTTGTAAAACCTTGTTGGGCATGTTACAGGTTTGTTAACTAGGGTGACTTTTAAAAACACAGACATAGATATTTCCATGGGATATTTAAGGATAATAAAATTTTTATTATATTATGGACTTTATCCTTTTTTTGCAAGAGGAAGGGAGTAAACACCACTGTTTTAGGTACAGAGAAGTAATAAAGTATCTGCCACAGCAGGTAAGTGAACTGTGGGCAGTAAGTCAGTGCTCACTTAAGGATGGTAAGTAAACCTTTTCAAAGTGTGCTGTCTGTATTGGTCAAAGTGCAGGAATTGACCTGAAATACCTAAAGTTGCATGTGAAGTAAAACCAGGAGAAATGCAGAGCTGAAACTCTAGAGATGCTCATTGACCTAGCTTTCAGGTCTCAGTTAACTTTAACTTCAGTTATGCGGTCTTGCTCCTGTGGGAACTTCCTGAGACCAACTCTGTAAGTATAGGAGCACAGGAATAGTTTTACTTACTTTAGTCCCAGTCACAGAATTTAAAGTTTTAGTCTGCAGTTGCTGTCTCTGCATGTTAAATGTGGCCAAGCACACAGTGATGCATTTAAATGACTACAGTAAATACTGACTCCCTGGTCTGTGGAATCACCTAAGTTGGAAACAACGTTCAAGACCATGAAGTCCAACCATCAGCCTGACCTACAAAGGCCCATCACCAAGCCATGTCACTTACTGCCATGTGCACACATCCCATAGATGGCTCCAGCAGCAGGAACTCCACCGCTTCCCAGGACAGCCCATTCTGTGGAACATTCTTCCTAAAATCCAAGCTAAGCCTCCCCAGCGCACCTTGAGACTGCTTTGTCACCTTCTACCACTTGTCACCTGAGAAAGGAGTGACATTCATTGCTGCCACCTCCTTTCAGGTCGTTGCAGAGCAGAGGCTTCTTTCTAAAAACTTGCCGACTTCGGCTTAATTAGTAATTTTTTTTTTGCAAAGTTGGATGAATTGTTTTCTTAGGACTAAGAGAATATTAACACAGTATCCCTACAATAAAAAAAAAAACTTCAGCATTCGAACCACCTTTCCTATTGCAGGTGAACAGAAGTCTACCAAGGTTCTTCATTAGGTAAGACACTTCTAAATAGCAGGTAGAACTACTGACAGTTCATACAGTTTAACGCTTGAGAAAATTTAGAAGAGAAGGGAACATGCATCTTGCATTGATTTTCAGCAATGGACTGCTGAAGAACTTTTCTGACATTTCCACTTAACTGTAGAGATCTAAAACTCCAGAACCAAATTCAAGAGAATTTAAGGAGCTACTGAAGTTCTGCCCCTTGTTATGATACTTGCTAACATTTACATCCAGTATCTGAGCATTTTTGAACTTTTGAGAGAGACTGGCTCTGAAATTTGTGACCTCACTTAGCTATTTGTCAAAGCAATGGAATATATGACTTGAATAGGCTTTACAGTGAGCTAGAGCAAAATGGTAATCGATTCAGTTTCCAGTCCTCCAATACATGCATTTTCAGTTTTGTCATGTGTTTAAAAGCTGAATAAATAAAAAGAAAGCAGTTAATAGGCAGCAATAGAGATATAATTTTACAGTTTACTTTATGATCTGTGGACAGTCACTCCAGGCTTTTGCTTTCCTCTTGGCCAGTGCAAGCCAGGCTGGTTCTGTTGACACAGGGTTCGCATCAGGTGTGGAGAATCTCTTGGCCACCTCTTTTGCCAGTGGTGTTGGTGAAACAGAATCTGAAATTTCCACTGTGGGGAGGAGGAAACAAAACAAGTTTTAGTTAAAGCCCATACTTTGTTGGAGAATTTCAGAGATTTAATTTCTGTAAAGGTGTTCTGATTTAACACAATACTTATTTACAACTCTATTAGTTAAATCTTATTTGTTTGCAAAATAATCAGATAAAGGAGCAGAATTTTCTTTTTCAGAAGCTTTGTTAAATGTTCTCAGTCCAAATTACTTTCAGATGCATTTTCACGTTTTGACTATTTTTAAAAGTTTTAAAATTGCATAGATAGCAAAAATTACTTCTTTAGAGCAATTGTAATGATGCATTATTAACTGTAAGTAGTAAATGAACAGTAGCAGGAGCTACTGCTGTAGGCAGACACTTTGAAAATTGAGTAATTTGAAAGGTTGAAGTAATTTATGCTATTTTAAAGGCCGTACTCTCTTAGCAGTTCCTGGTGCAGAAGATTCAAGTGCAAGTCTGAAATAGATCACATTTTTTCAATATATATATATTTTTAAGCCATTACAGGAGAATTCAGCAAACCTATTTTAAACATTTTCTAGCCTGATCTTCTGCTTATACTGCTCTACTAACTGTGGGAAACCCCAATCAGTGTGTCATTATCCATAGTGCAGAAATAGTGGCTTGTATTATATTTGTGGTGCTGATAATGGCTGCCTGCCTCCAACTGTAGACAGTGCTCCCATGGATATCCAGTCACTGTTTCCTTTACCACCAACACAGTTCTATGCTTTCCCTTTAAGGAAATTCAAAATCTGTGATTCCTCCTGAATTTCCTCCTGAAATTCAGCTGATACCTGTATGTACTTTCAAAGAAGTCCACATTATTTACAGTGCAGCTTATAAAAAGGTTTAATCTTTACCTATCTGTATTCCTCTCCAAAACCTTTTGCCTAGAACTATAGCTACAACAGTTACTTCCCAAAGGTCATGGTATTTCATGTATCTGTTTTACTGTTCCTGCCTTTTGAATGTAAAATTATTTCAATTTATCTAAGTGACAAGTAAAGAAGTCAGTCAGTCCTGGTTCCAGCTGTCCAGACCCGGTACTTGGCTGGAAGAGAAAAATCCTAAATTCCAAAGTGACAGGGTAGCCTCAATTTCGTTTAATTGGTATTTGTATTTTTGAATGAAATGAGTACTCAAGTTTCTGGGGGAATTTTTCTCCTCTTCAGCTGGGGATGTATGGGAACATGATGCAGCTAATTGGCCACACAGGTTCATTTAGTAGAGGTTCAGCACCATTTGCACTGGGAGCTACCCTTAAACTAAAGGCAAAACAACACTGCAGTTGCAATTTACAGCAAATCAAGTTCCCTTAAGTTCACCGGTCTTGTTCCAGAAATATCTGTTGCATATGGCATGGGGAGAGAGCCTGATGTCTTGGTGGTTTGGTTTGGTTTTGTTTCGATATTATTTTTTAAGTTAACCTGTGGCAATCCTGAAAAATTTGAATATTGATTGAATAACTTGGAGAACCAAGTTAAAATGATGTACTGGAAGCTGAGGAGACTGCAGCAGGTTGTGCTGAATGCAAATGCATTTATAATTGTAGAGGTAATACGAGAGAGGAAAAAAATCATTCACTTTCTCAAAAACATGCAGTACCACTTCTAAAACTACATTTCTGCTTGAGTAAAGGTGAGTCTCCCACTGTACCTGTCACAGAAGTTGGAAGGGTGTTAGACTTCTTCAGCTGCTCCCTTCGTTCTAGTCTTGACACAGCCGTCTCAATTTTCTTCTCCCCTTCTTGAGGTGTAGATTTCTGCAGTGTGCTCGTTTTGCTGCTGCTGCTTTTATTATCTGATTGATTGCTTACAGCAGCCTAGAACAGAGGAAAAGTGGTAAATGAGAATCTGTCATAAGGCAACCACAAGTAAGAGGTGTTGCACCTGATGCTTTCATTCATTGTTTGTCCTTTCCTCTGCTTTCCTTTCAGGCAAAGAATCCAAACAATCCGATACTTCTAAAAGTAGTAGTTATTAAAGCTTGTATAAGAAAGCAGAAGAATTAGTTTTTTCAAGTTGTCTCTTCAGTCAAAATATGGAACAGTATGAACCACTCTACCTGTTACACAGAGGACAGAAGAACAGGGTGACTTCACACCCCTGCTTCACACCCCCACACCAGTTATATGTGTTTCTGACTATAGATCTGTCTGAGAAATGTAGGTCTCATCACTGACATTAAAATATACAGTTGCCCACACAGCTTCCCTTTTTACCATCCATAGTATCTAGATACAGCATCACGGCTCGTATAGCCTGTTTTAAGCATTTGAAAGTTTTGTATGACAGTTCATTTCTTTCATTCATCCATATTGTGTCCAAGTATTATGACAGAAGTGAATTCAAACATTAATGTTCACCTATAAATGAAAATAGCAGTACTCAAGCTTTGAAAGAAACATGTTACGTACCATTTTTCTGCTGCACCAGCTGCCCTGTGGGCAGGCTTATGATTACCACTAACTGCCCCGGATATTAAGGCATCAGAGTTTATACTGCGACTGTCACAGTGTTTCACATTACTTTCTACTGGAGCAAAAGGCTGCTTTTTACCCACTGTCATCTTAGTTTTTGTGAAGTCTTAACAAACCAACTGCACATGCAAATACTTCACATAACAACTGGCTAGTACTTTTAATGGAACCATCGGTGTTTCTAAAGATATTTACATTTTCTTTAGCCAGCTTCTCTGCTTGCTTTGCCTCTCTGGCTTGTCTCCTCTCTTCCCTAGTAGCTTGTTGCTCACGAAATCCCTTCTGTTTTTGCAGCGCTAATGTGATCCATAGTGGTTGTGAAGTTTCAACTTTTTCCATCAATTTAGAGCCATCCAAAGAGTGTCTGCTCTGCAGGACTGGTTTTTCTGAAAGAAAACATGAAGATAGTTGGTTGAATACGGGATATCCATTGTCTCAAGTAACCAATACAACTTCCCACCTTGTGAAACTGCAGCTAAGCTCATGGACTTCTGTGCCATTCACAGACCTTCAGGAACTATCAGATTCTGAATGAGTTTTTAAAGCCTCAAGAATACGACCTAATTCAACACTCCAGTACTTCAGCCAAGTTGAAAGTTCTGTACTCTGATAAATGCACTCTTAACATTTTTTTAAATTGCTATTTGAGCAATAGTTGATTTCTCATTCAGTGTGGTGACTCAAGAGCAATGAAAGGTGGATGTAACCTTTTCTTCTGCAGCACAAGAGCTTTCTGGATTTTCCAAAGCTATCTTTTATCTCAACCGAACTGGTTCAGAGGCAACAAAACCTGAATTACTTCCTTCTTGCTCTTGTTGCCTGTGGCTATTCCCAGAAACAAATCAGGCTTTATTTAAGCAATTACTTGAAAAGCTTCATTGAAACTAGTAGCCAAAGTACCTATAAGTGTGAAACCACATAACTAACTTTAAATATCTACACTCATGTTAGCAAAAAAGTATTTGAGGCTAAAAACATCTCTGACAGCAAGCATCTTGTACAAAATTGAGTCCTGTAGTCAATACAGAGCTGTGTAAGGCACTGCTGGTAACTGTGAGCAGCATGTAGGTGCAAATGTTCTCCTGCAGAGCACAGAAACCCTCAAAGGGCACAAAGGCCCTGCTCTCCTAGAGCACAGCTGTGCCTCCAACTAGTTTCCAAAATCCTCATTTAGAAATGAAAGGAAAAAGTCTGTGTTCACAGAAACTGTAAGTAGTTCACCGAGATGCAATTTTAGAAGTCTTGATGTTTACAGAAGACAAGAATGGGGAAAAAAAGGGGATTTCCCAAATAACTGCTGAATTCTTGGCCTCACTCATCTAAGTGTCCTCACGCTGACAAGGTACTTTTTCCAATCATACTGAGCACTCTTTCAGGACCCAGGGACTTTCAACCTTCCTCTGAAGAGTCACTAGGGCCACTGTAAGCACTTGTACTACTGAAGAGTGCTGCTGAAATGCAGACTCATGCCCTGCTGTAGATTGATAGAGAATATGCCCAGGTCAGATACTACAAGGGCAGCCAGATCTTATTTCCTTTTTTAAGATCTTTTTAAGCTAAATACTATTCGTCCCAGAATAAATACAATATGCAAATTATAGAACTGACTCCCTCCACTTTGATGGCACCGTTACACATAGAACACAAGTCCATATTTGCCTAACAAGGTAACATCTCTATCAAGGAAAACTCACTTCTGTCACCTTGAAATTCACTTTCTGAAGCAGGACATACTGGCTGCATTGAGTTTGTGTGTATCTGAATTAACCTGTGGGGTTAGGAAGTCTCATTCATTCAGACAACTGTATGCAAAGCAGTGGCACTCCACACATAATATGTCAGGTAAAAATTATAGCTTAAGTCCAGATTTCTTCCTCTGGACTTCAGTATCTCATTTTGGAATTGCAGACAATCGCTAAATGACTTTTAAGTACATACCTTTCTTCAATGGCTCAGGCTTTTTGTCATTTTTTTCTCTCCAGGGAATACTCAGAGATGGGAAAAACGACTTCTTTTCTCTGATTTCTTCCTCTTCATTTTTGCTCTCATTCGGTGCCACCGGAGGCACTGCTCTGTCATCTTTTCTCCAGCCCCCATCCGATTCAGCCCTAACAAACCTCTGCCCCAGTGTATCAGCCAGGTGTGATCGGTTCATTTTCGAGAGAGGAGATGATGGAGGCGTTTGGCTGGCAGGCTTTGGAGCTAAGGCAGGTTTCTGTGGGAAGAGCGACTTGCATGCTGGTTTCTCATGAGGAGGTAAAGCGCTCTGGCTGGTGGCTGGCAGTGGTGTGCCCACTTGTTGTGAAGTCTCCAACATAGTAAATGAAGAATCTTTTGAGTCTTTTAAATTCCCATGGACGTTTGCTTTCCCTATACCAGGGGATGTACTCTCCTGTGTAGCAAGAACAGCAGATTCCTGTTCACCATCAGCTGTGAGTAGTGGGTCAGGCACACCATCAAAACTGTCTCCTGCACTGTACCTTTTCTTTTTCCTCTGCTCTGCCTGTTGATCATAATGGAAACGTAAAGAATAGTTTGTCCTCCGTAACTTTATCCCAAAGGGAGAAACATTTTCTTCTCCATTTGGTGCTGGTTTATCTGTTTTTTTGGTGCTGTTGTTCTGCTGATTTTCCAGAGCACCTGGAAGTTCAGACTGGGGTACCTCCTTACCTGGAGAACGAGGAAAACTTGGAACAAGAAAAGATGGAAGATCTTTTGCAAATTTACAACCTTCTGTGTTGTCTGTAATTTCACTGTGTGTTTCTATTTTCTCTTTAGCCATTTCAGATAAGTTATCCTTTAAAGCGGATACTACATCCTCATTTGCATCAGTGCATGACCCAATGTTTCTTCCCACAGCCACTTTTTCATTGCATTTTGCTGCACTTACATTCTCAGTGCCTGAATTGGTTTTGGAAGCTTCTGAAAATTTCTGCCACGCTGGTGTTATTGAGAACTTTGCATTTGCAGATAGGGTTTTCCTCAAGTTACCATGGGGAGAACCTCGTCCCCGGGGCGTCCAGTCATCGCTGTGTCTGCAGGCACTTACTCTGTCTTTCTCATTGTATTTGCCATTTTCTTTATTCTTTAAGATTCTAGAACGGATAGAGGCCCACTCAGCTAACGTGGCTTGGTCCAATGCCTCTTGTGTGTATTTGATTTTACTGCTGCTGGGTTTGGGACCTGGAGATTTTTTCTGGACCTTTTCTGGTGAAGGAATATCCACATTTTTTTTCTCTTCTGTTAAGCCAAGCAATGATTTACAAGCTGTGTCCTTTATCTGGTTCAGGTTAACTGCTGTGCCACACAGCTGTGCTCCAGTAACCAGAATAGCTGTATGGGGTACACACACAGATGATGGGAGCGTATGAGAGCCCTTGCTGGAGGTGTGCATCGTGCTATCTTTGACGGATGGAGAAGATAGTCCTGCTCCTCTGGCAGGCATGACTGGACTCAGATTTACTTTCTGAAATATGATCTGTTTATCTCCAGAAGACACTTGAAATGTGAAGGGTCTGGATGCAGTTTGTCTTTCATCTACCTCCTGCCACCTGAGTTCTTCCCCTATTCGCTTTTGTTCTTGAGCATCAACTTCTCTCTTCAGTTTCTGGGCCAGGATTTCTTCTACTGTTTTACTCCCTTTTTCTGGCTGTTTGATTTTTTGCGGTCTTGGTCTTTCCTGGAGTTTGTCATCTCCTTGATTCCTATCAGCCCCCACAGAACACAGCTCATTCTTGTCATTTTGCTGCTCCAAGGATTTTTCCTGTTGCTTTTGAGGAAGATTTTGCCCTTCTGTGTCTATTTTCTGCTCTTCCAGCTTGTTCCACTCTTGTTCCTTTTGCTGTTTCAGTTCATCTTGTTGCACAAAGTCTGTACTTTCCAAGTGCATTTGTTTGGTGAGTTTATGTTTTCTCGGCTCTTCCCGCCTCTGTTTCTTCTCCAGAAGCTGCTGGGGTTGCTCTTCCTCTGTCTTTTCTCTCTCCTTCAAATGCTGTCTTTCTTCCTCCTCTTCCTTCTGTTGGCTGGGTACCTCAAACTCTTTCTCTTGCTTCAGTTTCATTTCAGCTTCTGGAAGCTCCTTCTCTTCTAGTTCTCGTCTCTCTTTTTCTTCCTTATTTTGTTCCATCAGTTCTTTTTGTTCCTCCATCTGGTTTCTTTCCTCTTCCTCCTGACACCATTTCTCAGTCTCATGTTGTGTCAGTTCTTCCAGCTCTAGCTTCTTCTGTTCCTCCAGCTCGTTCCTCTGTTGCTCCTCCAGCTCCTCCAATTCCTGGTGTTTCTGCTCCTCTAGCTCTTGCTTCTTCTGCTCCTCCAGTTCCCAACGCCTCTGTTCCTCCAGCTTCTGTCTCTGTTGTTCCTGTTCCTGGCATTTCTGCTCCTCCAGCTCTTGCCTTTGCTCCTCCTGTTCCCAGTTCTTCTCCAGCTCTTGTCTGTGTTCCTGACACTTCTGTTCCTCCAGCTCCTGTCTCTGTTGTTTTTCCCATTCCTGGTCCTTATATTCTTCCAGTTCCTGTCTCTGTTGCTTGTTCCATTCCTCGCACTTCTGCTGCTCCAGCTCTTCTCTCTGTTGCTCCTCCAACTCCTTCTGTCTCTGCTCTTCCAGTTCCTGGCATGTCTGGTCCTCCAGGTCTTGCCTCTTCTCTGCCTCCAGCAGTCTTCTCTCCTCTTCCTGGCAGGTTTGCAGTTCAGTTTTTGACGATATGTCTCCTTCGAGGAGATACTGACTACTCTCTTTTTCATTGTCCCTTCTCTCTTGCTCTTTTTGCATCTGCTCCTCCAGCTCTTGGCACCTTTGTTCTTCCAGTTCTCTCTGTTCATCCATTTCTACAATCTGCCTTATCTTTTCAGCTTCAAGGATCCCCCAGTGATCTTCAATTCTTTTCTCCTCTGCCAGCTGAAGCTGCTTTGGCTCATCTCTGTTCTGGATTAGTTTGTCTGCAGTGATGTGTCCGTTATAACCTGGATATCTGTCTACAAACAGCTCAGTCTCTAGATCCTCTGGCTCAAATTCTGTTATCGTTAAGCTTTGTGATCCCTGAAATAGGGAGGCAAGTATGGAATTACTTAACATTGCCTATTGGCTTATTATTCTTTACAGTGAAAAAAACTATAGCTTGCAAATGCAAAATAATGTCTTTTCTTTAAAGAGAATGACTCAGATCTGGAGCCAACACATTTCAATTTACAGTTAATTTCTTCACAAATACCACGCCTCTCACCTGTACAGGTGACAGCCTTTTTAAGAAAGAAAATATCTCAACAGTGATAACTACAGTGTTAAATTAACGGTCGCTATTAGAAGTACAAGTTAATCCAGGCTAGGATCTGCCATTTCAGGAGGCTGAGAAATATGAAGTTTCACACTCTGTTCTATTACTTAGAACTCTGTTCATAAAGCTCAAAATAATTAGCACCTGCCTCAGGGCATTTGTTTTGCCAGCTCTTTTGTGACAAATCTAATGTTAAAGAAAAACTGCAATGCTAGTCGGGAAAGAACAGTGCTCAGGGGCACAGGACTTGGTTGCTTTTCTCAAAACCTTGCCACAGTGAACTGAGTCTCTGTTTCTAACTGCTGCCCAGCAATGCTATACTGTTCCAAGGCACACGTTAACTACTGCCTGGTTCTGCGTGTTTGCCTTGCAGCACTGCCAAGTAGGTGAAGTGCCTGCAGTAAACAGAAGGCAGATCTTTTTCACAGCTTGCTTTTTATCTCTGTAACGAAGATGAGCTGCACCTTAACAGCGCTGCCCAGCACTTTCCATGAGGAAAACAGCTCAGTTAGTGCCCTGCCCAGCTTTCATCTGTACAGTTGTTATTTAGCTCCAGTTAAACAGAAAGAAACTAAATTCTTAGATTTAATATCTTCATTGCAATAGTGGATAAGAAGGATCAGTGCCTTCTCCTATATGTTGTGTTAGTTGAATAGTCCCATTTATAAATGCTGATGTCAGGATAAAAACCGAAGTAACCATGCCGTAAGCATATTAGAGCTAGGATTTGTTATCTCGCTCTCAAAGCTGTAGGAAGAGCTGCATTACTCATGTCTTTCTCTTTTCTGTATGACAATGATGTCAGCACTGTCAGGACCTGCACCATTCTTCCAGAAGCTTCAGACCATGGTGTCCTAATTTTTATTATTACTTTTTTAACTAGATTAGCTAGAATCAGAAAGTTCTCTTGAGTCTAGAATACTAGTGGATGTACTTCAGATTTAAATAGCATTTGTTTCAGCTAGCAATGTGAAAACTTTGTTGCATCTTATCTCCAGGTAGGGTTTCATCTTTAGGTCTTGACTTCAAAACAAAATAATCATCTATTTTGTTTTAGCCTGAAGACACAAGATTTGTCCAAGCTTTCACTAGTTGCCTCCAATTAATATCAATTACATCTTAAGGCAGTCCTCTGCTACTCCTGGTGCACTCAGTTATGGCTATTTAGTACACAGCTTCAAAAGCAACCTCCTCCTCTTGTTATTTCACTGAAGGTTCAATACCTTTGTTAATCTCTTGTGTTTTCTGGACATTCTCTGCTTTTTTGGCTTCACGGACAGTTTGTGTTTAGCTGCACTGTTGTCTAGACGAGCAACAGCCTGGGGAACTGCATCCAGATTGATTGTTTCAATTGTGCCAGAACAGGAGAATTGTCTTTTTGGCCGGGATGACTTGACTGGAGTTACCTGTTTGTATCACAAATACAAGAAATCTGTATTAAGTTGCTCACTCAATTTAAAAACATCATAACAAACAAACACACATACAACAAAACTTGGCAGTTTTGATTTCAAAGGAACTTACTAGCTTATAACCAACAATTTGTTATCTCAAGCCCTATTTTCCCATTACAGAAGTTGTGAACTTTGTACAGCTGTAACATTTTTCTGTTTCCGGAACCTCACACATTTTCATACTTTTCACTTAAATATTACTCAGAATATCCCAGCTGACTTTTTTTCACAGAAAATGTCAGCTCTGCTCATAAGCTGTTGGGATCAACAAGGGCAAAGGCAGAGTTTTCAGCAGCGTCCCTTAGGACATTTTAAAGTTTGCATATTGTAAAACATGTGCATCTTTAAATAATTTAGATGGGATGCTTCAGGAAGAGTAAATCAGAATGACTTATTAAAGCACTATAATAGAGCAGCTACAGAGAGGTACTGTCTGTGTGGTAGATGACTAAGCTGTGGGGTCTCAGAGCCTCCAGACAAGCCTCTCTCCACAGCCATATGGAGATGTCCAAGCAACCACAAGCACCAAGCAACAACAAAAAATGAAGTATGAGAATACTGGCTTTGGTGCTTTTCCTTATGCACTTCAAATGTTTTGGTTCAGAAACTGCAAATACAAGCAAAGTGATTTAGTGAGACAAGGGGCGTGAGTACAGTGGAACTGGATGCCTACACATGTAAGAGTGAGCCTGGAACCACAGCTTCTCCTGTAAAGCACTGAGCTATCATCCCAAACCTGTGTTTGGCACAACTCCAGTGGAAACAGAAGACAGAAAAAAAGGGAGAAAACGTTTTCTGTAAGGAAACAAAGTCACACGTCTTGTTTTCAAGACAGTCCTGCAATTTTCTGAGGTTAAGCATATGCTAATTAGGGAACCAATTACTTAAAGCTGACGGAGCATTTTACATACACTTACTGAATTACATGTAGACATAACAAAGTAGTAGAAGTACTTAGGAAAATCATGGCTCTGTGACTAATACATCGAAAGCAGATATGCTGTAGGGCCAGCAGAGAGATTTCTGCTGTTTCCTGCAGTCAACTCTCACTACAGAAACAGATTTCACAGTCTTAGTGATTGCTGATTTACTATCCTCAAAACCATGCAATATTCACAAGATCTTGGATGATGATCACGAATCAAAGAAATGTATATTAAAACAAAAAACAACTGTTAGGCTTCTAATAGCTAAAAATGGAAACTAACTCAAAAGTTTCGTTACCTTTTCTTCCATTTGTCCCGTTCCAGGCAAATCCATTGGTCTCAACAGATCTGGAGTGTCTGCTGGCTAAAAAAGAAGATTAGCACAGCTGGATATTAAAACTACAGAATCTAATAAATATGGTTCAAAGATCTTGTGAAATCATGCAGTTACAGTAGATTCAGTTTTCTCAAGTCTTATTTCCTGTCTGCAGGACTGCTGCATAAACAACTCTTGTTTCTAAATACTGTCATTTTCTCATTGCTCCTTCAGTGACTACTGTCAACAAGAAGAAGTTGCTGCTACTGGACACTACAGAAGGTGAAACACTTCCTTAATGAGATAACTAGATTCAAATGAAAGAGCACAACTTTTCAGGATTTCAGGCAGCTCTTAATAACTTTATTTTCTCCTGATCTAGGCCCAGTGAAAACTAAGAACCTGGTCTGTGTCCAGTCAGGCATCAGTTCTGCTGCACAGAGCTGCAGCTCAAGATTTTCAATAACTCCTGTTCTTCACAGAGTGACCTGAGCCTACCAGAGCTCCATAGCTACTGTCCTGCTTGAAGCCAGCTCACACAGGGGGATTCTAAAGCACAGGGGTAGAAGCACCATTAATTGCATCCAGAAACATTTTTTAATTATTATATCACAGTATTACTTCACCGCTTAATGAATGTTTGGATCCCATTACACCAAGTGCATATAAAATTTCCTTCTGAACAGATTAATAGTACAAAGCATAAAAATATAGCTTAAATATAAGTCTTGCCATTGATCCAATTTAGGAAAATCAGAAGCCACAAGCCAGCATGGGAAGCTTGAAGCGCGACAGTGCTACATGGTCCCAGCCACTGGCTCCTCCAGACCCACACAGATAAGCACATGGAGCTGCTACAAGACCAGCAGAAGAGACTGGAACTGAAACCAAGCAAGGTGCCATGCAGCAAAAGTCTCTGATAAAGCAGGCAGCAAGCAGCGCTCAGCAGGATAAAGCAAAGTGCTGAGCACTCTGGCAACTCAGCAATGACTTATTGGTATCTACCTATGTACTTGGAACCGTGATCTCCTGGGAATACTGATGTTCACTCCTCGGTGTTATGAGAAAGAACTATGCAAGGCAGCATTAATTCTGTTTTCAGACCATAGTACTTGAAAGAGAGGCCTGAACCTCTCTCTATTACACAAGGGAACTCCTGTGATTTTTTTGTGATTCTTTCTTCTTTCCAGTTGGAGGTCACCAGGTGGTGATGTTCTGGTCTCCCGAAGCACAAAGACCATCTGCAGAGGTGGTGTTGGAGTGTTCTCCCAATTCCAGGCTATGTAGCCAAAACCTGCCACAGCCCCACTGTGATTTGAGGCACAAAGGATGCTCTAAACTGATTCCTTCACAAGAGATTATTTGTGAAGCAGAAGAAATACACCTTACTTCTAACTGCATTTCTGGACTGCTGAGGGACAGGTGTGAGCATGCAGTTCCTACCCAAGTGCCTAGCTCCCTGACAGCTCCAACTACTGCCATGAAGCAAGCAGTAACAGAGAGTTATGCTGCCTCTTGAGGCAGACGAAGACTGGGCCACCTCAGCCATAAATCTCTCTTCCACACATTTATCTTAACACAGGCATAACCTGCAGAGGACATTCATTACTTTTCACATAGCCAGTGCTGCCTTTAGCACCCACGAGCAGAGGCTCATGCCCTGGTTCCCCTCCAGGATTTTATGGGCTGCGTGTACATGGTGAAGTTGCTGTGTGCCTTCCCCTGGCACAATGTCAGCCTTCTTCACGCAGGGAAGACTGCCCATTTGTCTGCCACAGACATGCCTTCAGCCATTACAGCAACTTCCAGAACCAGCATCACAGCACAGAATTTCCAGAGAGATTTCATCCCTTGCTGTGTTTCTTCAGCATGAGAAAAAGCCCTTTCTAGATACCTGCAGTTCCTGGTATCAAAGTCTCTGTATAGAACCTGAGTCATTTGAATTGCACTGTGCATTTGGGTTTACAAACCATTCTCCAAATGTTTCACCACCTTGTATGTCTTCAGTTCCTGTCCAAGATGAATATGGGTGTTTACGCCAAGATCACAGATCTTGAGGATTTAGTCTCCATACCTCTCTCATTTTGCAATGATTTTTGCCACAGATGCTGCGCACAGCTTTCTGTGCTAGAAAAAAAGTATTTCAAGACATATTCAGTTGCAGTTAAAAATCCAGTCTGCTGGCTACCCTGTGAGTAACACATGCTTTGCTGGAGGTTCAGAGCAGACAATCAGATGGGCAAAACTATGGGACCTAACTCAGGAAGCCAAGAGCACACGCTTCTCACCAGTCCAAGATGCATGAGCTGTGCAATCCCACCCACACGCAGCAGCCGCTGAGCCTGGCTCAGCCTCGCTGGAGACATCTGTTATGCCCTGGTGAACTTTACTGGTTTATTATCACCATAAAGCCATGAAAACATCAATTTAAAGTGCTTACTTTATTACCACTCTCTGAGAGCACCGTGTCCTGCTGAGAGTCAACCTCCATGAGGCTACCGAGAAACACATCCTCTTCTACACTAGCATTTGCCTCCCCCATTGTCCTCCCAGAAATTGTCATTTGCGGAGGCTGCCCAAATTTTATATTCTTGGCCAACTGTTGCTGAAAAACAAAAAGAGGGAGGAAAAAAAAAAAAAAAAAAAGGTATTTAGATTATGAGCAAAACAATCCAAATCTCCCAAATGTTCCCCTTCTCCACATGGAAGCGGCACAGAAATACTCAGGACAAGTTTTGGCTCCAGAAAAAATAACATCCTGAGGCTCATGTTGCTGCAGTTTGGTGGCCCTTCCCTCTCTATTCCCCTCACAAAGCGACCAAGAACAGGAATTCACCGCCTAAGTTCTGGTTTGAGGTGGTTAGCTTCAGTTTTAATCAGTGCTGAAAATTTATTGTGAATTTTGTGAATGTTGCAACTTTCTGTCTATTTTCATAATCTATGTCCTAGATTAAGACTGTTTATAAAGCTAATTAATTATCAAGACTTACCATCACAAAGAAATGATAAGATCACAAACCAAATTCAAACTGCTCAGTATCTGGTTCCTACATGGACCCCAATACGAGTTTCACTGAGAAATACAGAAGCTCAGAGTAGGTATCACATAGAACGAGAGCGTATCTTTTTCCTATACCACAAAATCATGAACATGGCTCAGGTGAACAACTGGCAAGGGAAGGAATCCTTTAATAGCACAGGGTAGACTTCTGAAAGGATTCAAGTCAGATCAGCCTTCCTTTCATCGTTGCTCAGTGGACAACATTCTTGCCTGAGTTTACCTATATCAACTGCAAAACATTATCTAACACTTTGATACAGAAATCTGGTAAAAATTCAAGCAGTTTGTGCCCATGTGAATTTTGGCAGAAAATAATGCAATTCATCTAGTACAGCATGTTGAAATAGTGGGCAGTTTTGAATGGCAGAGGTTTATTTCCAGATTACTGTCCGTGTATCCTCTGTCTAACAGCAAGGGTTCCACAAAATCCTCCCAGATTTCTGTGTTACAAATATAGCTCTCTGACTTGAGATGTTACAATGTCCACTATGCAAGAGGGAGTCAGAGAGATCAAACACTGTGAAGGCTGTAGCTGAGCTCTGCTCCTACAGCTCCTCCGATACCAGTAGAACGCTGCTTCAGAACAGCTTCTTAATTCAATGTCTTTTCTAAATTGAGTTTCCTCCCTGGTTCATGCTGAAGTCATATTCTTGAGAAATAGCTCTTCTCCCAAGCAAGAAGTTGGAACTGACAGGATTACTCTAGTAACTCATAAAACTAAAGACTTGGGCATCTATTACACAATGTACATGCGAGTACATGAACACCTACATGTGGTGCAAACTGTTTTGGTGGAAGGGAGATCCATTACTCTCTCTGTCTTCTGATCAAGTTCTTGATCTAATGTGAGTGCAGCATATGGTGGGAGCTGTGTGTCAATGAAGCTATTGTGCTGAGTGGGATTAACTTTAAAAAGTACAGGTGTTTTTAATAGCCATTGAGGATACAATGGAAAATCATGTACATGTATTTATAAAGGTTTGAAATTATTTTCAGATAATTTTAAAATTTTTAAATTACTTTGAATTGTAAAGATTTTTATGCTCAAACACGCATGAGTTAGTTTAAATATATAAAAAAAATCCAATAGCACTCACATTACTTATAGGACAAAAGGCTATTTTTGTTATTAATTGCTTAAAAAAAAAAAATAAATAAAAATAAAAAAACACAAATAAACTTCATTAACAGTTTTCCATGGCCTATTGCTTTCAGTGCACACTCATCTACAAAACCAATGCTGAATACTCGACATCTAAATCTAAAATAGCTTATTGTTACCAGTAAGCAAATTTATTCTGATTGCTTTCACAAAGCAATATAAAATCTGTTCCTTACTCTTTTCTGAAAACGTGCACGCACTCCAACCAAACTGCAACTATTTTCTTATAAATTCATACAAATACATTCTGTACCTGGGGTTCATAAGAACCCCAAGACTGCACCATTCCTCAGTGAAAAGATAAAATCCACAGGTTTGACTTGGAGGAACACATTCAGGTAGCACAACCCAGAGATGGAGAGAGACATTTATTTAAGCTTCAAGTGCACTGAAAAGAGACCATATTCCCTGAAAAGAAGCATCTGCTTTGAATTTCTTAAATGTTTGTCTTAGACAAATATTCCAGGACACATCTATAAACCCTGTGCTGACAGCACGTGGGCGACAGTTGCCTAAGGAGGATTATTTGCAATTCCAGTCATTAGAAATTGCAGGCGTGACATTTTGCTGTTCCACGATTGTGCAGTCACGCACAGGATGCTTAAATAACCTGCAGAAATATCCACACATGAATACTGATCTCAGTTAAATGCACCTGGTTTCTTTTGGTTTGTGCAAAAAGGCTTTTAATTTAGCAGTCAGAAATTACCATCCTGCACCAAAGTCTCATTTGTCAGCTAGAAACAGCTGAACACCTCCTGCCTGTACCTCCCGCTTTCAGTCTTACCAACTCCAGTGCAGTTTCTTCATCCCTCAGTTTGCAGACAGGTATTTTGCAGACATTATAAAACATCCGCAGCGACAAACTGGTACCATGCTTGACCATGAAACAACAGCCAGTGGGCCCACACACCGGAGCTTCTGAATTGGACCACTAAGCTGGAACACGGGCTCCAGCCGCAGCTTACCTCATGGCCACATTTTCTGTGGTGCATAAGCGTGTCTGTTCACACCCAAAGCAGGTGGCTGTGAGCAAGGCGCCATTCAGCATGGGGCAAAGCTGTGCATGGGAAGTCACAGCTGCCTCCACCTCCCCTCTAGAGGAACAGGAATCACACTGGGCTGCTCCCTACCTAGGTGATCTGCACCCTCACCTCTTCTGGCTCACCAACAGCTGGCTTCACTAGGAGGAGTTGTGGCCTTGGCTCTGTAACTTCACTCTGCCTTTACATGCTGCAAGGTGCAGGAGGTCCACCTCCAAGATGACTATATACAGTACAGTGCTTACCAAAACACAACCTTGGGGTCACGATCCCACTGCTTTATTTAAGATATTCCGTACTGCGGTTGTTAATCATGCATTTAGTTAATAAAGCCAAAGAAATATTGAGAACTTAGAAAAAGGTTTATACTTTTGCACTCATTCCATTTTGAAAATCTTCCACAGCAATGACCATGACGCAGACTCAGTTTTACTTCATGCAAAATAATTTGCTAGAACATGATGCTACTGAAGCAACAGCTTTACACCAGCTTAACATTAATAGCTTCAAAAATAAAACTCCAAAGTGAAATTGCTCTGCATTTTTGGCACCTGCGGTGAATTTAAAACCTTCAACTTTAAAAACGTTCTTTGTGTTCATATAGGAAATGCCATAAAACAAACCTTCCATATTACCCTGCAGTGAGCCCAGATGAACATCTCCTGCACAGGCTGTACATCTCTTTCACTCAAATTTGGCTATTCTTCCATGTACATGCCTGCCTGACTGCATGCTGGATTTAGCCCTCTGAAACCACAACATTCTTAATGCTCTGTGTCTGGAGTGAATCCAACCTGGATCCACAGAGCTACTTTCTCTGTTCAGTTTTAAATCATTAAAATAGACAGCATTATTCTGGCTGATCCTCTTTGAACAATTCTCAGAAGAAATGCTGGTAATATTTTGCCTTCAACTCAAATACCTATTTTTCATGCCTGTTTGCCCACATATATAAATAAATTATGCTTTCTAGTTTTATGTTGCTGTAAAATTACTAATCCATCAATAATACATGCCCTAAGAACAGACTTAACACTGAAATCCTGCTTGGCCCCACAGTTTCTCACAGTGATCAAAAAATCAAACAAATCAAGAATGTATAAGAACAGGGTGAGCCCACACTATGAATACCATCATAAACGCTCCTAGGATTATTGGCGTCTGAGCACTTTTGGAGTCAACAGCAATTTGGAACCTTTTATGAATGTTTAATTGTTTTTTGAGCTTTTATAAATAGAAAGGAGGAAGAGAGAATAAGGGGATGTGTCCCAGAAGTGCTAGAACGATTTGGAAAAAGCAATAAATCCAGTTTGTAAAGTAGAAATTGTCAAACGTGAAGAAAAAAAGTTAGGATTCACTGGCACTAGAAATATTGGCACTAAAAAAGTGATTTAAGAAAAATATAAAGCTGGGGCCATCATTTAGTGAAAGCTCACTCCCAGTTCTATAAAAAGAAGAGCATCAAGTTAAAAGATAATAGCTCTGAGGTTTAACGAACAGCCTTTACAGCCTTGCTGAGGTCTGGACAATAGCAAATAAAGAAGAGCATCAAGTTAAAAGATAATAGCTCTGAGGTTTAACGAACAGCCTTTACAGCCTTGCTGAGGTCTGGACAATAGCAAATACAAAGAGCAATGGGGAACAGGTTGGACGAATACACACATACAGCGCAGAGCAGGGGAAGCCCTGGCTTGATCATTAGCTATAGTATGTTAATGACTAAAAGAAATGGATACCAAAACTGACTAGTTGACAACAACAAAAATACTACCAAGGCATTCATCAGTACAAAGCCAGTAACATTTGAATTTACAATTTGGTTCCTTAGAATTTGATCAAGAAGCCCAGATCTCCAAAATATGTTTTTATCATAATAAATCACTGTAATAAATGATGTTTTAAACCATACATCCACATAAACTGAAAACATTTACCCAGAAGTTCCTAAATGCAGTAAGCTCTAAGACATACTCAACCTATAATATTTCTAGCGGCTTACTGCCACTGCCTGAGGGATGTCAGAAATATATTCAGTGAAGGCAAGAGACAGTGAACAAGCTGTCCCTCCTGCTTGCAGGGCTAGAGCAGTGCCACACCATGGTATTCTCACAGCAAAGAGGAGACAGTGGTCAAGGCGCACCAAGATACTAATACTGAAAACAGGTTTTCATTTTACTTACTAAAGTTTCTGTGGGTCTAAAAGTAACCACCTTTTGCTCTTTTGTTAACCTTTGCTGACAAATATCATCAGCAAGATCTACAATCACAGCTGCAAAATAGGAGGAGATTGATCTAACATACTTTCAAGAAAGGACAAAAAAACTTACCTTTGAAAGGCAAGTTTATAAAGATATGCTTCCAGAGTCTCTTTCTGGCTTGTTCTGATACACTGCTGGATTTAGGCCTTAAACACTCCTTAGTTCTCATTGAGAGTCTTGCATAAGTAAAGCACCAGACCCTGATTAATTAAATGAGTTCAGCATTAAGAGTACTAAGAATCTCTTGGTGGAAGCAGATTCAGGATAGACTTTCACACTTCATCTTAAAAACCAGGTAATTATAAATCTTGGCAGATTCAAAGGACAAAGCAATGACTGCTTTTACAATAGTAGGTGGCTTGAACTAGCACAAAAATAACAGCTTCGGGATACAACAAAGCCTGCCTGAGGTTAACAAGAAGTCTTGCTTTTCTCAGCTCAAATTCTAGCACACACTAAAACCTTAGAACACGACCAAATCCATTTACGGAAAGCCTGATGAGATAAATGCTGCTAAGCTGAAAATCAATAAAAATAAATGAGAGCTGTGCCAGAAAAAAATAGTTTACCTTGAACATACAACCAAAAGAAAGAAACATACATCCAATAAGAAACTGAACCAGCTGCATCAGTCCTGCATCATTACACAGCTCTTTTTGTGAGTTCATCAACACTTCAAAGGCAGATGAAATGCCAGGGGAGAATGGGAAACACTTCGGTGGTCAGTGGAATGAGATCCAGCATCATCAGTATTAAATTGCTTGTGTCTCTATCCTGATTTCAAAACCCTTTCCATAACCAGTTGGGCTTGTCAGCAAGTTGTCTTTTTCAACAAAGATTTAAGTTTTGCATGAATTTTACTGTATCATCACCCACAATTTCCTGAGGACTGTTAAAATCTCCAGAGGTTTCCGCCTCCACTTGGAGCACAATAAGTTCAGAGTCAGCACAGAGCTCTGAATTCTAGCATTACTCCTATGCTGAGAAGCATCTTGCCATGCAAGCAGAAACTGGAAGAGGTTTAGAAGAGATGACTGACTCCTTGCTCTACCTTGATCTTACTCTTGTCAAGCGTTGTAATGGGCTGCTCAGAAAATTGGTGGAGTTCCCATTCCAGAAGGTATTTAAGAGATATGTGGACTTGGCAATAGGGAATACAGCTTAGTAATGGGACTTAGAAAGTCAGTTTGATGGCTGAATTTGATGATCATGAAGGTATTTTCCAACCTAGACGATTATACAACTCGAAACAGTACAGACATTCCCAGAGCTTGCAGAAAGGGATTTCAACACAAACAAAAAGTTCTGATATTGGAGAAAGCGTATCAATGTTTTCTGTGACTGAAAAATCACACAGCAAAGAAAATTAACCTTTTTGAATACGACAACAGAAAAAAGGAAGGGCTGCAAAGTGATAACTGCATTCTTCAGAAAGGAATGGTAGTCTGAATAATGGTTCAGAACTTGGATCCAATTCTAAGGTCCACCTAAAAATGTGCAATGAGATTTTTGGCATGATTCTGTCCTAAAACATGGGGAACAGCTGTGGAAATCATGGCTACGGTAATAGGGACAGTCATGTCCTGGACAGCAGGCTTTGCAGAGGTAAGAGGTAGCCCCAAGTTCATTATAAGGAGCCTTCATTTTGGGTTATGAAAAAAATCCAGACGTTTGTATGGATGCGTAATATCTGCATAAAGATGCAAATAGTTTAAAATGTCATTTACAATTTTTAATTTGTTTTCTATCTGTTTGAATGGGTTGCTCTGGATGTCACCATCACCAGTAGAACAGGAAAAGCTGAATCAGGGATGCGTTACAGGCTGGGCTGCAGCTCTATGTTAAAATGCTAAGAAGGAACCAGCTGCCTTTTGACTTCAAATAAAATAAGCACACCTTTGTAATGAGGCAGCCAAAACAATACTCTCCCTAAAATACATGTCAGTAACCACCAAAAACAAAAGCTTATACAAAATCCATATGAACAAAACTGTGTATCAGTAGATATTCTTGCTGTACCTTTCAAGAATGACTATTTTTATTTTGCTTCTTGAGTTACTGTTTGCTTAATGAAGATGGTTGTTAGTAAATACAGTAACTCTTAATTTTGAGCACTTCTCTAAGTTTAATCATAGAGTCACAGAATGGTTTGAGCTGGAAGGGGCCTTAAAGATGTCAAAATCTAGTTCCAGCACCCCTGCTTTGGAAAGGGTTGCCACCTTCTAGATCAGGTTCTGCCTTCCAACCAGGCCTTGAATACTTCCAGGGATGGGCGTTCACAATATTGAAAGCAATAATTTTCATTTGAAACTGTAGGGTGTTCGGATATAGAAGGAGAAAAACTTCAAAGAGAAAAGGTATTAAGAGAGAAGCTGACGTTCTGAAGCCAAGACAAGGTCCAGCAGGCAAGGAGGGCACAGCTCCCTGCTGAAACCAGTTGACTTTGCATACAGAGGACACTAAAGCATTCTATAAGTGAGGTCCAACTACCCCACGTCTTTGCCCAGAGCCAGTAATCATTTTAAATATGACTTCTAGCCTAGCAAGTAGAATGCATTTAAAACTAAATGACACAGGGGAATTTAAGCTGAAAAAACAGCACAGAGAAATTGGAGCTGCCCTAGCATGGTTTTTACTTTGAAGCTTATCTGTAGTCAGCACAGTCAATGCCATTCAGGTGCTATGTTTGCTGACAGCACTGTACAGGAAAAAAAGGAACAATCACATCCTGAAATTTTGCTTGTTATTTCACTCACTGGAAAAGCTGAACTCCAGTTAGCAGTTTGGAGGTAAAAGAAATCACTGGTATTTCACTAGTCATCTACAGGGTAGTGGCACCTACACAGCATTAAAAATTTACCAGCATTGGACAGAACATGCCAGCAATTCTCAGCAATAAACTGATAAATGCTTCTGAAGAACAGCTCTTTCAAGGTCTAGGTAAGCACAGAGATAAGCATAAGCTTTGAATCCTACAGATACACAAAAAGTAAAGCAAAAACTTAGGTAGAGCAGGAATGGGATACAATTCTGGAAAGGAAGGGAAAGCAGGTCATGTAAAGCTCTTTCAAAGCAAATATCCAACTGAATTGGCTACGTAATTACTGATGTACTTCTTACTGAGGAGAGTTACACGTATCTGCCTTTTGTAAGCACTGCCTAAAGAACAGGGAGAAAAAGATTGCGAAAGAAATGTAAGTACAAAATGATACTGAAATGAGCTTTGTGAAGAATTCCCACTCTGTAGGCCATTTGCTGTCACCTGAGCCCCGTTTCTTCTCCCCACCACATCTGCAACCAAAGCATAAGGATCAGGAGATGTCAATCCCATGAGTTCGATTCATATGAATTCCACAAGATGCAGACACCCATGCAGTTTCATGCTTGCAGCATCACTGCTGTACCTTTCTAGATGAACACCCAGACCTCCTGCAAACTATCCAAATTGCTAACACAGCTTTTGGCCAGATAATTGCCTGCTTAAAAGCAGCCCCCAGGCCTAGAAAGCAAACCACCTTTATTCACACTTGATGTATTCTGGAGCTCCAGAGACCATTTTCCACCACATTTTAAATATTTTTCCCACTTGCAATTCCTTACCTGAAGAGTTTTGACTTTTCCTAAAACGTTCTCTTGTGACATTGCTTGGATGGCCTGTTCACTCTCTGTTCTCCCATCAGGTATAAAAATACTGTCATGGGAAAAAGCTCGACTGCCCATAGAATAATGGGAAGACCTGGAAAATAGTTAAAAAGTACAGCAATTAACTTATGAGAGCATTCCTTCATATCATAACTGTGTTGCTGCATAGATTTTTCTTCCCTTCTCTACATGAAGGCTTCGACCATTCTCAGAAGAGAGGTCCAAATCTCTGTTACCAAAAGGCTGATGATTCCTTCTCATACATTTTCCCTCCCTGGGAGGATGTAAAGTAGGATGGTTTTTAATAGAAATGCTGAAAGGTTAAATCAATTTTCCTTAGGAGCTTCAGATCTAAACACTACTTTTGGGATACAGAGTAGTTTATGATGATGCATACATTCAAAAAGAAAGACAGGAGGTCCAAAGTAAAGGTAGGACTAACGCAGGCAGAGGTAATACACTGTACTAGTCTACTTTTAAAGAACAACCTTGTCACATTCATTACTTAACCATTTCTATCACCTTGAGTAATCACACTGACAATAAAATGTTATTAAACTGATATGAAGGATATCAGACCATTCCACGTGTGTTTTATTAGCAACAAACAGAGAGATGGCCAGATGTTACTGTTAAACTAGACACAGTTGCAAAGGTAAGGAGTGCATCAGGGACAATCTTCTTACATGCCTGCTGTAAACCAACGGGAAAGAGATTAAACCAAAAGGTTCTTCAGGTTTGTGAGAGTTCCTAAACCTTTCAATTTAATAACCTGTTTTCAACTCCACTGAATCCATTTCAGCAAACTTACAAACTCTGGGGAAAAAAACAAAACCACCAAACAACTTTTTTATGCCAATCTAACCAACATAACCTTCTAGATGTAGTAGAGAACAATATAAACAAATTAAAAACAATATAAAGCAAAAGCAAGGAAGGCAGATCCTTCTGGAGAGAGATAAGTAAAAAGAAAAAAAAAAAAATTAAACCCTCATATACTTAAGAAAAACCATATACTCTCTTTTTCTCCCTCTAAAAATGTGCTGGTTTAATAGCACACAACACAGTCCCTATTCATGTATTATGGGATGTATTCAACTTGTTGATTTGTGTTTTGTCCCTTAGGATATGGCCATCATTTTTTTAAATAATAATCATAACATTTTCTTACAAGTAGAAACACTACAAAAGGTTAAAATAACACTGATTATGTTATGTAGGATGCTCTAAAAGTAATGCCTCCTATTTATTTCCATGAAAAATCCAATTGATACAAAGAGAACAATAACATTACTTGATAGAGCAAATTCTCAGCTACAAAATACCATTTTACAACACAATCATCACCAAGGCTATCTATTTTCACCAGCCTCAAACAAGACCCTGCACACCTCACTGGTAAAAATCAGCACCAGTAAAGGCGACTCACTGTCACTATCACTACTGCTGAAACCCACCATCCACCTCCTCACTGTGCTCACATCCACTGCCTGGTCTTCCTAAACGTCTGGGAAGTACCAATGAATGGTAGTGGGTGCCACTGTTTTCCACGTGGAGGAATTCAGAGACATACCTTTACTTCACATGCACTTCTACATGAGAAGCCATTTTGTCAGACTGCCCCTCTGCTGCCATCTGTCACACAGTGACGGAATGTAACTGAATATTGGTGAGATATCAGTCATATCACCAACATCCACCTCACAGATCAAGATAAAATAGGAGGGCATTACTTGCAGAGTAGCCTTTGCACAAGGTATTTGTGATGTTTATTACAAGATTTTGTACAGGTTGCCTGAAAATAACAGGAAAATGGCCTTCCACAACTTCTTTGTTTTTTATATATAGAATATATTTGTGTTCATTAAATATATCATCCAAGCTTTTGGAATGAACATGTACAGAGCTCACTGTATCAGTCCACTTTGCGTTTAAGCACAGAAAAACTGGAAAACTATTTTTTTTAATCCAAGATTACTATTTGAGCAACATGCTTCATTTGAAATAAATTAGCGTGCAATCAAGCAAAGAGTTGTTTGATATTCCACAGCATTTTTAGCCATCAAAGAGGGGAGCATTTAACTGATGCTATATACTATTCTAGATTTTTTTTTTAAATAGAAGCCTCAACTTGATTGCCTTTGGCTGCCAAGGGTAATATGCCTTCTTTTAGAAACCTTCTATTAGAGAAACCATAGAAGTATATTTTTAAACTCTCTTCCAAAAGGGGTTCTGTACTGAATCATCGTGACTCAGCCTGTACACAGAGCTGTGGTGGAACTGTGTGGCTTTGGAAGACTTGACAGAAAGCTACCTTCCTTGGCCATCCAAGCACCAGACCACGAACTATAGTTTCAGAAATGTCCCCTAAATGGAAACAAAAATGACAGCAGGTCTGGCTTGCAAAATGAGGGTTGTGAAACTTTTTTTTTTTTAATTTAATCATTCAGATGAGTTTGAACTAAAAGCTCCAGCATTACATTCAACAAAGGTAATACAAAAGTCTATGTACTCACAGACCTTTGCCTGTGACCAATGGCAAAATTTGACAAGTCAGCCCATGCTAACCACTCCTTCATTTGAATATTGATTGGTTGAATATGTGAAATGGCAGCAAGTGCAGAAGGCAAGGACAACGACTTCTGAATTTACAGTTCAAATTTTACCTTTGAGCCAAGATATGTGCTGAAGACGTACAAATACACTACGCTCCAAAGAGGATCCTCTCTCACAGATTCTTCTAGCAATTCCGTGGTTCAGACACAGCTTTGCCTCACAGTTATTAATTGTGCCCATGGCACTGATGTTCCCTTTACACAGAATTTTTGTTGCTGTACAAGTAACATCAAATGTTGCACGTTTACCCCCATTCTTCTGTTCACCACAATTAGTAGACAATGGCTGCAATATTAAGGCACCAAAGAGTCCAGTGATTTGTTTGCCAATGGTGCTTGACCTTACTAATGTATCTGTTAATATCTAAGAGGGGAAAAGCCAGACTGCAACTTTTGAACCAAAGAGGGTTCCATTAGCAGTTCAAATCCCAAAGCTTCATTTATCCAGGAGCCGGAACTGCCAACTACAGGAAGTTCCCAGTAATGTGAACCCCCAAAATGGAAAAGAAGACAGACTGTTGAGGTCAGTGCCAGTAGACTGTGTGGCTCACAACTGTGGGCACACCATTTCCTTGTTCTGCTGAGGAAACCCTTGGTGGTCAAATCTCACTCCTGCCTGTGAGCTCATCCACAAAAAAAAAAAAATCTCCTGTTGGTGACACACAATACACTGGCTATATGCAAATCTGTGTTTATGACTACCATGATCAGACTTAGTAAAACGTCACTGAAAGCCTCCTTTGGGACACCAGATCATGTGAAAGAGCTTGGGAACTTTGTGACCTGCAATGTTGAACATTAAGACGAAAAGTCTCAGTAGCCTATCTCTGACAAGTGGCCACACTGGCTGGTTAGGACTATGCTGAGCATCTACGGCATCTCTCTGATATTCTCCCATACACCCACTGCTTTAATTTCAGGCTCCGCCTCATTACAAGATGAAGAACAAAAACAACATTGCAGAGCTGAGAACAAGCCTGCATTTTGAAAACTTCTGTTTTTTAACTTCCTACCAAAACAAACATAACAAAAATGGTCAGAACGTGAAACATTTGCATGAAACCCTGCAGGGAATTAACCTGGGACCTCTCTCTTCTGTATCCCCTCAAAACGTGCTTCAGATACACCAGCCATTTCAGCACTGCATGACTGAGAAATTCTGAAAGCCCCATGTCCAATACCCACTAAAAATGGTTTAACTTTTCTTCTAAAACATCTTTCTAGGCTAAAGTACACCAGAAAAAGCATATTCAGGCTTTGTAGTAACTTTGTTTCTTTTACAGGTGAGTTTAAAAAGCATTTAAGGAGATCTCTGGACTATTTGAATTTTACTCATTTTACTCATTTGGATCCTTTCAAGTCTCTCCAGCTGTGAGTCTGACAGATTATATTACAAAGGTTCATTTTCCACCCCGTTTTTCACTCTCCTTGTGTTCTACTTTTAGAAAGACTGAATTTCTTTCAAGTCATAACACAGTTCTTACAGCTGAAGATTTTCTCAGAAACCTTTACACAGTAGAATCCTCCCAGTTCACATCTACAGACTGTTTCAGAAAACCCTCTCCTCAATTAAAGGGCATGTGAGCACCAGGAACAGCTTTGGATAGATTCAAGGTGTGCCAGAGAAATGGGTTACAGATGTAACTATGGCTGAAGTTGTGGCTCAGGCCTAGGAAAACATCAGCATCAATTGCTAAGTATTTCTGCAGGTAATGTTGACAATGACACTTCAGAGGCTGCGCTGAAAGTAATTGAATCGTAATGTGACTCACTTCTGGAAACCTGACTGAATTAAATGAATTATGGATGTGCTACTCCAAAATGCACAGCTCTTAGAGCAAACCCTTACAGATCTCTGAAGATGTGTTGCTACCCAAGTATTCTGTTCCAGTTTCACTTTCAGTACACAAATTTTCAAAATTATTATTATTTTTTTTTACAGTTGGTGCAAAGGTAAATTTAAATTCCATGAATTCTCAGAGCTTTCTTTGCTCTACTTTCATCTCAGTGTAGATCCCTGAATACAAGAACAATTTTTTTTCTCAGAAAAAAAATAAGAACAAGAGCAAACAGGAATATTGTTCTTTGGATCCCCATCAGTCATCCATGACTACACACTGTGTCTGTATAGCATGGGGCCTTTTATTAGCTCTAGCTAGTCCATATTATAAATGGGTGACGTATTACCCTTTCTTTCCTTATCCTCCTTCCCACGTGCTCCTGTCACTTCTTTTATGCCTGCTTAATGGTTCACGTGAAACAGCTGAGGGAACTTATTTAGGTAAATAACTAACTTGGAAAAAATAAAACCCACATCTTCCTGGTCTGGCTGAGAGGAGACTGGCATGAGCACCTGTGTCAGCTGCAGGAGAGGGCTCAAACACACATCCAGAGAGCTGCAGGAAAGAGTCTGACAACTGCAGTCTGGACTTTGATCCAGTCATACTATTGCGGGACTGCACCTGTAAGTAAACCATGG